TTGAAGACGTTTCACCTCTCATCCGAGAAGCTTCTTCAGTTCTAAGGTCAAATGGTGGAGAGTCCCAGATAAACCCTAGTGGGATTTTCCCCCCACAGAGGGACAAAAGGACCCCCTGATGATCCTCTAATCGCCTGAGCCAAGGTGTGAAACTGGGTGTGGGTCCCAATCAGCCTCTGACTGAATTTCTTCAATGCTGATGAGATCATCAATGACCGGTCGGGGATTTTCTCAGGTGCATAAAGCCATGGGCAGGAATTCAAGAGAACAAACAACAGCAAGTGATCACAGATAGAAGAGAGGACAGACAGAAACTGAAGCAGAGAGAAAGAAAAGATAAAACCTGGTGACATCAACCAGGAAGAAGCAAGTAAACGTGCACATTTAAGGAAGCTAGAGTCATGACTTAAGGTGTTTTTCTTTTGTTAATCATGTGATGTAGAAAAATAGATCACATGGTTGGTATTTTTAATGCATACTGTCAGTGTTCAAGTAACAAATTTAAATAAAATTAGCTAAAACAAGCAACAAATTAATGTCAGAACCACAGAACACAAACATATTCAGCTGAGTTTGTGCATATTAGAACCAAATAGCAGTTTTTACAGGGTGTCTGTGTGTGTATACCACTCATTTAGTGTCACACTTTCCAGTAAGAGTAACATTCTCCATAAATGAGACCTGGCTGATGTAATAACAGCCATCAGTGAGACAAACAGTCTGTGATTCACACCTTGTGAGGTTATTATGCGACAGTATTGGTGTTCTGACTGGTCAACCTAAATAACCTAAAGAGATGAAACGTGTTCTCTGTGCTCTTTTTCTGTGTGTTCTGTAAAGATGTGAGCTTCAAATTATCAACAAGTGTTTACTCGGGTGTTTAAAAGTTATGCCACAAATACAGTCAGGGTGGACTGAGCATTGGGAGCACTGGGATCTAGTGAGGGTCACTGTGGCTCGCTGTGAAAGGTGAACTTCATCTGAGCTTACAGACATTTTAGATTCCACTTATCAGATGTGACTCTTGGCCATGGACTGCTCCCTACAGCCTCCATGGCATGCAGGTATGTCTGCCATTGACACGCATTGTTCAGTGTATGTGACGACCAGAGATGGGCAGTAACGCGTTACTTGTAATGCGTTACTGTAATCTGATTACTTTTTTCAAGTAACGAGTAAAGTAAGGGATTACTATCGCAAAAACGGTAATTAGATTACCGTTACTTTCCCGTAGGAACGCTGCGTTACTGCGTTACTAAAACCGTGATTTTTTTTGCGAGAATGTCTCATGACAGTGACGTAAGCAAGTGCAACGTTCGTGACGACAGCTGTGTGCAGATCAACAATGGATCATATATCGAGTGCGGGAGAGAGTATGAGTGTGCAGCGTTTAAAGCGTGGAAGTACTGACCTTACTTTGAGTTTGATTCCATAAAAAGTGACAAAAACATTAGTGTCCGTTGTGCATGGGAAGAAAACTTCTTTTTACAGCGAAAAAAACCCCTAAACTTCCAAACAAACACCGAGTGCGCTACGACGTAATGAGAAATTCACAGAGAAACTCGTGGATTCTTCCACTGACCGCTGCGGCACACCTGCACCAGGGTAAACCTCCACCTACCTACTCCTGCTTTACAGGTGAAAATAGAGCAACAGGACCGCTAGTCTTTGACTTTATTTATTTTCTGCTGTGTTTTACTTGCATCTATTTGAAAGAGTGAGTGTAAACACACACAAAAAAATTATTTTATGTGCAGGAATGTGCAGAAAATAGGTTTAAATATTAAACAAATTTCTTCCAGTCAGAGAATGTTGCATATAATTAAATTTTTGCTTGATGCATAAAGTTAAAAGATTAAAACTAATAAAACAAGTTTTAAAAAGATACTTTTTCATTTGATTACATTTTGTATGATGGATTATGCAGAAAAAGTAGAATTGGGCTGAAAGATCTATCGCTTTATCACCTATTCAGGTTGCAAATCGTGTTTTTAAAAAGTAACTAAGTAACTAAGTAATTAAGTAATTAATTACTTTTGAAAATAAGTAATCAGTAAAGTAACGGGATTACTTTTTGGGGGAAGTAATCAGTAATTAGTTACTGATTACTTTTTTTAAGTAACTTGACCAACACTGGTGACAACACTTGTGCACTCCTTTTCAATAGGTGAAGTTATCCAAGGTAGAGGTGAGAGAGTGAGAGAAAATAAAAAGATATTTGCTACAAGCTGAAAAATTAACAGCTTTTTTATTGTTATTTATTTACTAGTACGTTTGCTCAATCCTTTGGTGTCAAAGAAATTAGAAAGTTTGAGCTCGCTCTATCCTCACTCTCTATTTGACTAATTATTTAGCATGCTTGGCTTTATACGTTTTTGCGTGTGAGGGTGATATGAGTATTCTGAGTGAATTTTAGGATCATGCTGTTAACACATATTTATCCTAATAACTGATCTTTTAGTAAAGCTTCTGTACAGTTATGGTTACAGGTGATCTCAGCCCCAGAAACACTCAGCCTTCAGGGTTAATACAGCCTCGAGATTCATCTAAACACTATATAAATGACGACATAATATTATCAGAAACATGTATAATCATTAAAACATTTTTTTATTTTTAAGCAGTGTTTTAAAACATGCACGAAAATGTAAATAAATAACAACCAATGACAAAAAAATTAAATAAAAGTCAAATATTTGGAAATTTGCTCATTGTTAGGTTACTTAGAAGTGATGACTCATATGGGAAAGCGTAACTTTTCGTGTGACTTACTGTCACATGATCTATAACCACCTTCTTGTTGATCTACACACAGCGAACATTCCTCCTTCAGAAACTTGTCTCGACATGTTCGGAAAGCTGTTTGAACTGCTGAGGTTATGAAAGAGGGTGGTTCACACTACATACCTGAATCAACTTGTACCACCCACAAAGTTAATAAAAAATCATAAAGAAAAGAAATGCAACAAATACAACAAAAAATATAACAGCAATAAAATATAACAGGTTTACAGCATAATATACAAAAACATGTGACCCCAAGTACACCACCCACAGATCTTCTTTACTGTCACTTTACTTGTGATGCACGTAAAGCCTCCATAAATCAGAGTCTCTCTGTAAATGATTCCATATCCAACGTATATAGTTAGAAAATGCTGTTTTTGACAGATTTACTGTAGGTCCCTCATTCAGAGTGGCTGATTAACTTTAACTATTGGCAGCAGTGCACAGAAGGGTACAAAGGTGAACTTGGAGTTTACCTGGTGTCACTTTATTGAGAAAAATATCCCCAATCTGTTTTCTGTGAGTGGTCAGTGATGGCCAACCCACCAAATCATAAAGAATTCAATGGTGTGTCAGAGTCTTTGTCTTTTTAAACATAGCATGCAACGCTGAATCAAGCCGCAACATACAAATAGTCACACAATCAATCCATTATCATATAGTAAAAATTCACTAGCTGGGACCACATCTATGAAACTATGAACTGGTGCTGCGGTTTGGGGAAGGCCTCAAAGGGGACTGGAAGCGACTCTCGGGTCAGGCAGATCATGTACTAGCAAGAAGTGAATGACGGCTGGAAGGGGCGTGAATGAGGTCCCGCTCCTGAAATTCAGATGATATCTCCACGTAAAGCAAGATTTAAGATTCCCAAAAAGATTTTGTTAGAGAAAAAGAAACGTGTCATCTGTCCATATACCCAAGTACCTCAGATATATATAAGATATAACAATATGTTTACAGTAATATAATTTCCACAGTACTGAAATAAAATGTGTTCCTGAAACCAACTAATTTTATTTGCTACACACATGAATCTAAACCTCTTACAAACACAAAGACAAAAACAGCAGCTGTAACTGTACTGTTATAGCTTAAATGTGTTTAATGAAAATTAACATATCCCCTTAATGTGCAAACATAAAAACATCTTTATGTATATGTTCCCTTTTTCACCAAATAATTAAAGAGATTTTTCACAAAGATGCTGGACACCAAATTCAGGATGTGTTTGATTATCTACAGCCGATGTCTATCTGCTGGGTGTTTAGCATCTTTCTTTCTGTCTGTGTCACATCATCTGCCTTTGCTGATGCTTAAAGACATCTCACGTTCTCTTACATTGTTTCAAATGCTTGAACATAGTTCTGAAGCTTTCATTTTGATTTTTGTTAGAATAAACATAAACAGATATAAGAGCTGCAGAAACTAAAATCACCCCCAAAACTGACAGACCAACAATCAGCCCAGCAGATCCTTCCTCTGTGTCTCCTCCTGTCTGACCTGCAGGTGAGAAACAGGTGTGAGGTGTCAGCTGTCAGGTAGGTGATGAGTGAAGAACAGAACAGAATCCATTTCCTCTTCAAACTGCTGTCAGACATTATCTACTGCACTCTGATCACATCACTCAGACCAGCTGCTTTCTACAAAGTCTCATCAACAACATCTTTAGAAACAAACATCAACAACCAGGAAGCAGCTTCACCTCTGATCACACACACACTCAACTCTACTCACTCACCTGGAGGATCAACATGAAGGTAGATGCTGCTGATGAGGTTCAAAGTTGCTATTTCTTCGTTTGTTTTTCTCTGGGCAACTCGACACTCGTATGTTCCGTTATCAGCAGTCGTCACATCCTTCAGAATCAAGGACACGTCTCCATCCTTCATCTGTTTGTCCTGCAGATCCACCCGGTTCTTAAAAGATGGATGCTGGTTGGCAGGATCAAAACCCTTGTTGCGGTAAAAAAAAACATATTCGTTCTTCAGATCAGTTCTAGTCCACTCTACAGCTGTGATGGTTATGTCGTCATTTGGAGCTCGACATGGCAGTGTCACGGTGTGTCCAGACTCAGCTGTGATGTGTTTTTGGTCTGAAACTGGAAACAACACAGAGCAGAGAGGTTAAAGGGACGAAAGTACAACTGTTCACCTGTACAGCATCCCATCAGCGAGACTACTAAGCTCTGCTGAACTGCAACATGAGGAATTTAAATTCGGTGGATATGTAAGAATGACTTTTCTAACAAATGATGTGCAAAAAGTTAACTGTGTGTTTTTATTTCACCATTTTTTTGAGCAAAGCTATTTTGCTGCCCTTTCTGTAATCATGAGAAAGAAGTAAATGAGGAACAAAAGCTTTGCTGTAAAAATGTTGGTGAGATACCAACACTGATACTGGTATATGATCAGTACCAGTGTGACAGGACTGATTATCAAGGTTCATGTTTCTTGTTACATCACAAAATAGACATGTCTGTGCAAACAGCACTCCGCTCACAACCCGTGTGACCGCTTTGCTACCTTGCTCTGCTGTGTTTTGTTTTGTGACGTGACTGAGCAGACAGTGTGGACTCCACCCACTGAGGTGGTGACAGAAAGAACTACTAGATGTCCGTGATAACTGTGAATGAAAATACTGACAATACTGCAGAGTTTGTAGGAGAGAAGCTGTGGCAACACAGTCTCATTTATACAAACACATGAAAAAGAGCAGAAAAAAACCCGAAGAATAAATCTGAAGAGAAATCCTACCAACTCCTTCACGTTTGTGTTTTTCTTTCTTCTGACCAGATGCAACTTTCTGCACGTTTCTTCAATGTCCATATACTTTAACACGGTGACTATTTTTTTCCTCAAAATGAATAATAATAATAACAACAACAAAAATATGCTTTTACTGTTTTTCTTGCTGTGGTCGTCCTTGGTGGACGTGGTTCATCAAATCAATACGGTAACAAAGAGTTTATCGATATGATAATCTGACCATCAGAAACTGAAGCACAGCGGGTGATTTTACGAATAAAACTCTTAAAAAACAGCGGATGTGTGCGCGTGTGTGTGAAGAAAAGGATTAAACTTGCTTAATGAGCTCCAAGAGCACCAATGTGTAAGACTACGAAGTTCAGCCGAATTTCAACCACGTCAGTTAAATGTCAACATAAACATTCAAACCTAGTCGAGAGGTTGTACTCTCCTCCTCTATATCACAGAGCGAAAAACTGCTTGTTTTAATTAATCAGATAAACCTCACCTGAAGAGACCAGCAGGAAGAAGACAAACAGTAAATTGCGCCAAAGTGGCGCTGATCCTCCAGCAGACATTCACCGCACCGAGTATTTGGGCTGTTCCACAACTACTGCTCTTAATGTCCGACAGCGCATTTCCAAAGAGTTTGATCTGTGAAACTTTACACGATCATCTAAATTCTAAGCTTTTATAATTGTTTGTTTGGGCTGAACTAAAAGTCACAGATGCCTATCTTTAACCTTACAGTTTAATTGCTGCGATCCCTGACGCACTCTGACGCACGCTTTCATCTCCGAGAAAGAGATGCACACAAACAACATACCACTGACCAGTCATAACAAAGTTATTAAACACATTTTTTGGAGGGGGTGGGGAGGGGGGTATTAACGCGTCATATAAGCCAGAACAGGCGGTAAAACATTTTTGTTTTAAGAAAAGGAATCATGGTGGGTCAGTCATATTACTGTTATTATTATTATTGTTATTATTATACCTTCGAGAATAGAGCTGAAATGTCATATCTCGGTAGTGCGCAGAGACTGAGCAACATTTGCTTGAGTTATCTTCTCTGCAGGCACGTGCGGGGGGGCTTGAGCACCCGACCCTTTCCTGATGTTTGGGTGCCCAAAGTGCCCTTCTGTTGAGGCAACTTTTTTTTTTTTTTTTAATTTTTTTAAAAAAATGTATGTGTGTCAAGTCCTGTCTGTGCCCCTCAACAATACTATTTAACAATTAATCACATTTTTACTAAATAAAAGGATCTGGCTTGCATTTGTCACATGATCACATTTAACCAATGATCGCCCTTGACGACAGAACGCGCTGGTTACGAGCCGGGAACGAGCTCACAAAGAGCACGCGCATTTTTTGCGGTCCGGGGCTGTAGGAGAAACACAAATGAACTCAGAGACAGACTGATGCCACAAAACCAGTAAGTAGGTGTACAGCGTACACTGTAGTCTATAGCACACAGGAGTATTAGCTTATTATGGACACGTTGGTAAGTTGTCTTGTGGCAACTGGCGAGTTGAAACAAACGAGCCTGCTGTGTGCGCAACAGCGCGACAAACATTAACTGCACTAGTAGCTGCTAACTAACTGGGTAAGGCTGTCGTGGGTCTGTAGCTCTGTTCACCGTTTTACGGAACATATTTAGTTTTAAAGTAAGTTACAGGGCTTTTCCTGCCTTTGGGGGGAGGGGGGGATTATATTTTACTAAAAAAGATCTAATATTCATGTCCACATAATTATGGATTATTATAATTATAATATTTAAAAAAACACACACTTTTCATACATTAAGAAACAGATTATATTAGATTTATATTTTAAATAAGACAAAATGCTGATTTTACAGCAGTAAAATTATTTTATCTCTACAGTTAAAAAATGTAATAAGCTTTGCCCCTGCACAGAGTGTATGGTGAAACAAATGGAATCATCATAAATACATTATTTCATATTTATTACTTTTCCCTCCTCATTGCTTTATTATTGTAGCTCTAGTAATAAATAATAAGGGACGGATTCTGGATCAACACCATTATGGAGACTTGTGGCCATAGTATATACAGTATTCTGAAGAAGGTCTAAAATATCACTGTGTGTGGGCATGTGTGTGTTTTATGTATATGGATTTTTTAAATTATTACTCATGATATAACATTGTCCAGACATGCCTGACATAGCAATGGTGCATTGCTATGAATTCTGGGATGGAATTGCTCAATCCCGTTCAATTTAGTGCTGTTTATATAGTTCCAAACCTCAACAACAGTTGCCTCAAGGCCCTTTATATGTAAGATAAAGACAAATGCTTACCCCTGTGGAGCATTTCCTGTTCTTTTGAAGCCGTGCTGTTGTAGTAGATGTCATACACAGTTTAGCATTGTGTGAAATGTGATAGGCCTTCACTAAAAAAGACATTCTTTGAATTGTAGCACATATTCAAAAACATGTACACAATTCTTTGCACTGATGAGGCCTTTCCAGATCTGCAAGTTGTTGAAGCCCCATACCACCACCCACACCATTTACCATTTAACCTGTGCATCCTCCATCAGCTCTTCCCACAGCCTCCCCTTTCATCCATCCTCCAGATACATTTTAGGAACTGGGAGATCAGCATGGAACAGTGAGACTGAATTCTGTGTCACAGACAGGACAATGGAGGAGATGAGGAGGCATAAAACGTCCCATCCACTGTCCCAATGTGACACATTTTTTTAAGCCTTTATTTCAAAACGATTATTACTTTTTATACCTCCAGATATGTAAAAATACATCGTAAACAAAAGCTTAGGTCTCAGGTGGAAATGTACAATCTGGCTGCTCTGCTGTAGCATTTAAGGTCAAAGATCACATTAAAACTGTCAGGCACTGGAAAAGCTAATGCTCCACTGCTACCACCTGCTGGCTGTTATCATGCAGTGACTGATGCCTCTATCCATTTACACTTACCGGCCACTTTATTAGGTATACACGTCACATAGTCTCTGTAGATTTGTCCATAAGGGGGCTCTCCTGCTCCACCACATACTGGTCTGTTGGACTGATATCTGGTCCAGTCATCTAATTTCAGATGATTTGAGCTTTAAGGCATGGTGTATCATCTTGCAGGAAATGGCTCACAGAAGATGGCTGACTACACTGATGGACACTGTAGTCATGAAGGGATAGACATGGTCATTAACAATACTCAGATATGCTGTAGTGTTTAAATTATCCTCAGGTTGTACTAAGTGGCTCAACGTGCGCCAGTAAAAATGTCCCCACACCATTACACCACCACCAGCCTTAAGAAGAATGGATTCGTACTTTGGTGTTGTTTACACCATATTCCGATCCTTCCATTGGAATGTTGCATATTCCAATTTTGTGAAGTTTTGATGAACCCATAGTTTTAAGCCCTTTAGTCAGAAAGGAATTTTCTAATACTGGACTGCTTGGGTTACAGTGTAACTGAAAGCTGCTATACAAACTGCTACTAAAAAAAACTATATCGCTGTGTGTTTTTATGCATATTTTCTGAAACTATTTTATAAATTACATCCCTACATAGTTAAAAATGGTAGTTAGCTACCAGTGTATTTGTAAAGAAGGGGCAAACCCTCAATCAGATGAAGAGGGCGGGCTTTGCTGTATATCGCTGACAAAAAGAAAAGCTCAAATGAGTGAGAAGGACGATGAAGGAAACATCTGTGCTGTGTCTGCTCTGTAAGTAGAATCTCTGTGTTTGTTTGCATTCTTGTACTTTGACTGTCTGCTCTCCTGATAACTGATGATGGAGGAGAAGACATGAAAAACAAATCGGGCTGAATTCAAGGGAAAAACAGCAGGCAGTGAAAATGACAAATCATTCAGCTCATTACATGAACACAGCTGGACGGTGGACATGTGACTTTACTGTGTTAATTAAAAGTATCTATGTATTTATGAGTTTGTATATACTCACAATAGAGCCAAACTTTATTGAAGCATGTTGCTGGCATCAATGCAAGTTTGTGTGGAGTTGTTCTTCATGTTCACCTCAAATCCACCTGAGTGTCATTTTTCTCTTTAGCTCTGATCTCACTGCTGAGCTGCACAACAAGCCAAGGTCAGTAACCTTCTTCTGTCACAGTTGTAACAGTTTGAGCAATTAAAATATTTTATTTTATTTTTTTTTTCATTTTAACCCTCACAGCTCGTCTGACTGTGAGTCCCAGCAGCTCTCAGTTCTTTGAAGGAGCCTTTGTGACTCTGAGCTGTGAGGAGGACGACAGCTCTGCTGGATGGACTCTGAGGAGAAACACAAGCAAACAACAGAGGACTCAGTGTGGAGATGGAAAATCAGAGGGCTCTT